ATTTCCTTCTCAACTCCATATCTACCCATTCTAGGTTTTCCTTCTGCAAGTTTCTATTATCAGGTGACTGTGTGCCGGGGAACAGCTTACAGCTTGTAAGTACCTCCTCAGAGTAACATGTAAGTTTAGTCTAAATAACAAATTACCATAATAATCAATACACTGGTGGACATACTAAGACCACAGCCTGACATTAATTATATCAATTGATACAAYCACTATTTATTACATGCATTCTATGCACCAAGCACAGAGAATATAATAGTAAATAAACATCCCTGTTCCCAAGCAGCTTCAAGTTTAACTACAGAGAACAATTTTTTAAAACTCCATGAGGTAAATCCACATATCAGTTATTTCATTAAACACTTACTAAATGTTTTCTATGCATCCAGTTTGTCCTAAGATGTAGGTATGGAGATATAAACAGGGCACAATGGCTGCCCAGAAGTTTTCATACTCAGGATGAGAGAGAAATCAATAAGACACCATAATGCAGTATTAATACAATAACTGATGTGATGAGTAGTGAAAGCAGCATAATACAAAAGAAACCTACAGGAAATCTCATGTACCTTTGTATAATTGGTTGTTTTCAAAGAACTTTCACATATTACTTCATTTTATTGCAATAGCCACTAGGTAAGAAAAAAAAGTTAAGGCTATGACTTTCTCAGGGTTACATCAAATAACAACAGAGCTAGAACAAGAAACTCCAACTCTTGTTCAAAGTCCAATGCTTCTTCCTTTTGTCTGACTCCATTCCTTATACGACCTTGGACAAGTCACTTGGCATTTCTTTTTCATAGTTTCTTCATCTGTAAAACAGGGAGAATACCTACCTAAAGTGACTTAGAGAAGAAGATCAAATAAGCAACCTAAGTCAATATACTCAGGGACATACAAATGCAAGGTACACATTATAAGGTATGCCTGCTTCTCTTGAGAAAAACAAGGTATAGGGTGCCAAAACATTGAGCAAATAAATGAAATGTGCTAGATTCTAAGGCACACAGGTGAATTCAAGTTCATCCATATAACTTAATGACTAATAAATGCAAAAGGACCGCAGTTCATAATCTCTTCTACAGTCCCACTGACCCCACAAGGCAAATATCAATCAACTTGGAAAAAAATGCAATCACCTATGTACCAGATTCTATTAAAGATCTTATCCAACACTCAAGTTAAAGGAAGAAAAGACAGGTTCTGTTTACATGTCTCCCCAAAGATAGCTTTTTCTAGTCTACCCAAAGAAAATATTTAGACCCCACATGCCCCCATTTATCAGCCCTTTTTTTTTGGGGGGGGGGGAGTACTAGGATTGAACCAGAGGTCCTTTACTACTGAACTACATCCCTAGTCCTTTTATTTTTTATTTAGTTCTCACTAAATTGCTGTAGTTGGCCTCAAACTTGCAATCCTCCTTCCTCAGGCTCCTGAGTCACTGGGATTAAGGCCTGTACCACCACATCCAGCAGCTCTCCTCTTTGAAACCTCAGACTTACTCTGTCCAACATAGTATCTATAGGAATAGGAAACTATTTAATTAAAAATTCAGTTCCTTAAATTTAGTTCCTTAGTTGCACCAGTCATATTTCACATATCACATGTGGCTAGTGATGACCATGTTGGACACACCAGATGTAGATACAGTTCCATCTGAACAGAAAATTCTGTTTCACAGAGGTGCTTTAGATACTATACTTTTATTTTTATTTCAACTCTGACTAGACTACCGTCTTTTTTAAAAACTATTTTTTAAGTTGTTGACGAACCTTTATTTTATTTGCTTATTTATATATGGTACTAGGAATCGAATCCAGTGCCTCACACGTATGAGGCAAGTGCTCTACTGCTGAGCTACAACTCCAGCACCTGGACTATAGTCTTTTTGAGGAAAGGAATTTTGTCTCACATCTCTTAGTATCCCCAGTTTACATAGCAAAGTGCATATCATACACCAAGCATTTGCCACCTACCTATCTAACTGGATATCTCAARTATAGCAGACTACTCTGTCCATTTTCCCCACTCCCAATACAAAGGCACTCAAATCTAACAACAAACAAGACAACCTCTGGTGGAGGAAGGGGTCATGGAAGGGGACACTGTACCCAAAGGAAGAAGGCCTGCTTTCCATTCTGGATGTGCTAGAAGCAAACCATGTCACCTTGAGCAAGATACTTACTTCATTTCTTCATCTATTAAAAAGTTAGAAATAAATGCTACAGACTCTAATACTAAAATTTTAGTCATCCTGTACCAAAAGAAATCATGTATTCTATCCAAAAGGCCTTATACATGTCAGGGAGGACACCTGCTGACACTGATGTATACCCCWAATTGAAAGGAATCCATTCACAGTTCTCAGGTTACCAGTCACTTTCAATCTTTCAGTTACAGTCACTTTCAATCTTTCCATGAACATGTAGAATTTTTCATCCTTATTTTAGAGACTTAAACCTCAGATGAAAAGACTGAGCTTCTTCCGTGTGCTACCACCAGAACTGGATACTCTGGTCATGCGATCAAAAAAATAAGAACAAGTTTCTTGAGTACCTGGACTTAACATGAATTATCCCGTCAGTTTCTATATTAACCTTAGCCTAAAAACTGAGCAAACAGTACTTAAGTGAACCAAGAAAAATTATCCCATAAAAATCTTTACACTGTGGAGCTAGGGATATAGCTCAGTTGGTAGAGTACTTTCCTCACATACACAAAGCACTGGGTTCAATCCCTAGCACCACATACACACACACACAAAAAAAAAAAAAAAAACCTTTACACTGTAAAGAATGTCATTATATGAAGTGTATATTTTTATTCAGTCTACATATTTCACCATATTTAACTGGTATAAAAAATTTTATTGCCCCCAAACTCTAATAATGATCTTCACAAACATACTCACCTACTTTATAAACCTTACATGGTTTTAAGATTAACCAAAACCAAGTCCAAACCGAATTACTAGTCTGTTTTCTTTAAAACTTGTAAACACGTAGGGCAATGGCAGTTCAGAATTCTGCAATGCTGAATTTGTCAATTCTTAAGTAGTTCTTAAGTTATCTCTGCTAGTGAGTAGAATGAACTACAACCAACTGCAATTTCATTTACTTGCATTTACTAATACCAACAAGGCAACAATATTCAGTGTATGACAACTAAACATTTTTCTGGACAGAGGGGAAACACATGCAAAAGCCTAAGGGTAAAAGAAAGGTTTCCATCATAGAATTGATTGTATCTGAGTATGATAAAATGAGACATTAAAAACCAACCGCTGTTGATTGCACACGATTAGTCCTACAGTGCCTTGCCATTGGTAAGAACTCAATGTGTTTGTTTGACTGCTAGACAGATAAAATAATGAGCCTAACTAGCACATTCCCAAGGAGAAGGAAAAAAAAAAAACTCCAAACACTACAAACTACCAAGTTCCTTTATAAAAATGAAAACAGAGAAAATTCTATTTGCAGCATAAAGTTTATCAACAGCATAAAAGAGACTTAAATATTGCATTAAGTAAAAGTTTTATGAGTATCTATGTAAAGCACTGGAAGGAATACAGAGATGGAGAAAATATGGTCCCTGCCCTCAAGTTACTCATAATCCAATAGAAGGGACAAAACTAACATTGTAGAAAATAACTGGTAAATTCCATTACGATGGTGCTAAAGAGGAGACTGAAAAAACAAAGGTGAATGGGGGTTGGGGCAGAGGTATCTTGAAGGAAATGTGGTAGTTACACAGCTAGAGACAGTAAGAAAAGGATATGTGTATTGTATGTATGAGAGAGCAGAAGTGTGTGTTTGGATAGAGTGTTGAGAAAGCTTAGAGGACTGGCCAGGGAGAGGAACAGCATATGCAAAGAAGACCAAAAGGTTAGAAACACCATACCAATGAGTATTGCATTACTTAGGAAATTGCAAACCAACAATTTTACAGGAGATGTACTCATTTTAAAGGCCCAGGTGACTCAGAATTCCTGCAAAGAAAGTTACTTCCCACCCCCAATAGCCTATCACAGGTGTAATGGAAGCCAGTGGGCCTACTGAAAAGATCCCTACGGATGGAACTTGTATTTTTAACAAGTGCCAAGACATTTCTCTTGCACACTTAAGCTAGAGAAACACTGATGCAGCTTTTGAGATGCAGAATTACCTACTGTTGTGATCCAAACTCTGCTGAACACGTGAATCACAGGGAGAACTTCCAAAAATAATGACAGCTGACTTCCACCACCTAGACATTCTGATTTAATTTGTCTGGGGTGTTATGTGGGAATCAAGAATCTTTCAAAGCTTCCCAGGTGATTTTACCATGCAGCACAGTTGGACAGCCACTGACCTAATTGTTAAGAACTTGACTCTGGAGCCAGACGGCTTGGATTCAAATTACCAGCTATGTGACCTTGGGAACCTAAGTCACCTAACAGCTCAGGGCCTCAGTTACCTCGCCAATAAAATGGGGATAACACCCATCACCTCAAGGGGTTGTTGTGAACTTAGATGTGCAGAACGTACGTCCTGGCACAAAGCCTGCAGGACAGCAAGCGCTGAAAAGGGTYAGCTGTTTACTCTCATCACCAACTCTTCCTCATCCCAGCGTCACCGTGCAATGGGCAGCATCATCCCCACTGGGCGGCAGCAACTCCGCCAACCCTTCCGCTGGACCAAATTCTTCGCGGAGTTGTCTTCCAGGCTCCAGACCCGCCCCCTCCCGCGGATGGCCAGGAGAGAGCTTCGCCCGGCCAGGGCAGCTCCCAAGGGCCAGCTTGGGTTTGCACAGACCAGAGAGAAGCCGCCGACCCTGGGGCCAAGGTACCCTACCCCGGTGGCTTCCCTCAAAATTCGGAGATGCGCTTCCGAAGGTCAGGCGCCTGGAGCACCCAGAGCCCAGAAACAAGCCTCAGCAGTCCTGCGACCGCCAAAGGGAGGAGGAGAAGATGGGAGGGGAGGGTCTAGCCGCCGCGGGGCCGACAGCCCGGTTACCTGAGGCGACGGGCGGGGCCCGCATCGCTGGGGCGGGCGCCGCCGCCGGCCGCACTCAGCTTTCCGCCTCACGCGACCCGCGCCATTAGGCCTGCTCTTTCACCGCCCCGGCCGACCGTCCTCAGGCGGTCAGTCAGTACACCAGTCGGTGACTCTCCCAGGGCGCCTGGGGACGACGAAGGCCGGTCGGGCCGGCCGGCGGGGCTCCGCTCAGGCAACTTCCGACTGCCAGGGGCGGCGGCGTCAAATAACTCCCCAGCCAAATGGGACACTGCGCTTGCGCAGTGCGCCTGATCAGAGACTTCTGAGGGGCCGAGCCGGTGGTGTCAAATAATTCCCGAGACATGGAGCCGGAAGCTGCGCGTGCGCAGCCATCCCAGAGGGCCGCGCGAGGCATGTTCACTCCTCCCTTTCCGGCTCCAGTGGAGAGCGATAAGTGAAGTGACGGATGCCGGTACCTCCGTGCAGCCGGGGAGCCACTCCACCTGTGTCCCAATGACTCATACGACAATCTAGACTCAAGCCTGCTACCAGTGCGGAGGAGTAAGGGGCTTCTCTGAAAGATCCTGGCTGCCACTCACGCTGCAGAAATTTCTCACATCCCACCGTTTCAGCATTCTTTCTTTGAAATTATGCCTTTTGCCCGGCGCCTTATTAGACAGGCACAGCGTTAGTTAAGAGCAGCGTTCTAGCCAGGCCTGGTGTGGGTTAAAAAGATGAATCAGACATCAGTTCAGAGCCTCTCATTAAGTAACTGAGTTTGATATGGGAGATAAGACTTTTAATAGCAAGAAATGCTGATTTGAGCACCTGCCATGCACCAGACGTTTTGCAGACTACCTACCACTTTAAATAATTGGTTTCGACTTCAACGAAGAAAATAATACCTGTAGTGAGGTTAGCCCAAGTACCTTGTGTGTGTGTGTAAAGGGGGAAACTTGGGCAGAAAGAAAAGAGGAGGGAGGAATGATGACATTCACGGAAGGGCTAGCCTTGAGACTGACCTTGAATATTCGGAGGGGGAGGGATCAGGATGTTGAGTAGTGCTGAAGGCATGCTTGTCTGAAAAGAGCAAAGAGAGAAAGAAAATGCAACTCCTCACCCTCTGAAAGGAGTGGCAAAGGAACTGGTATTCCCCCAGAACGGATAAAACAGGAGAGCAATTCCTCAAGCCCAGGAAAGTAGCTACAGAAATGAAGAGGAAAAGGGGGTAAGAATGTGCCAGGACACATTGTGGATCAAACATTTAAATACAATGTGATACATACTTTAGGAAACTCACTCAATATCTGTTCCAGCCACCCCGCCTTTCCCTTTCTACACTACAGAGGCTAAAAAGCAAAGCATGCAAGTGTGGCAGTGAGACAGAGTCCTGCACAATAAGATATAGACTTATATAGGCCCAGGGAAACCTAGAATAAAAGGGGAGTATTGGGAAATCTGTGTCCTTCTCCTTCTGCCTACTTCACTGTTCCAACCGAGATGCAACAGGCATTTGGATACCTTGAGTGGACTGTACTAAGAAAGGTAGAAAAGAAAGACAAAAGGACATACCCAGGCACCAGTGCAAACCCTGTATTACCTTCCCGTTTTATGAGGGGAGAATCTTTTTTATGCCATAGTTTTCTGTTTCTGGAGTTTTCTATTACTTGCAACCAGACACATTCTTAACAATGAATAATGAACACCTGTAATAGATTAGAAGAGAAACAGGAGATGGGAATTGGAAGAGTGACAGATAAGAGGAGAGAGAAGCTTTAAATGTTTAAAAGCCTTTGAGATTATGAAAATACCTCCATCCCCCCACATTGTGGCTTTAATTAATTCCTGAAATTCTGCCTTATGGGCAGCTTTTGAATGGAATAGTGTACATTTTTACTGATTTAAATGAGAAAAGTTGTGTGTTCAATTCCAACCTAAACACCTAGGATTTTTGTTTTATTATTGTTTTTATTTCACAAATAATACTCTAAAAAATAATAGAAATTTTAAAATCCCACACATTATTATCCTACTCACAATCATCTATTTTTTCCCATGGTCATTTTTATATGCATTCATAATTATGCTTACCATAATAGATATGATTTTGAATTGGTTTTTTTCTACTTAAAATAATAGCACTTAGTTTTTATCATCTTTGTTAAAATGTTTCTTTTTAATTCACACAATAATTATATGTATGTACGTATATATATATATATATATATATATATATATATATATATTATAGTATGACATTTCAAACATGTACACAATGAGTGATGATCGAAGCTGGTAATTGGTGTATCTAACACCTCAGTCATACAGACAATGACATTCAAAATCCTCTCTTCTAGGTATTGTGAAATATTCAATTATTGACAACAATAGTTATCCCACTGTGCTACAGAACACTAGATGTTATTCCTCCTATGCAATTCTTTCTTCATGCCCCTCTCCCCTTACCTTTATCTACATCAAGATCAACTTTTAAACTGTCACAGGTGAGAACATGCAGTATTTGTCTTTCTGTATCTGGCTTATTTCACTCAACATAATGACCTTCAGTTCCATTCACGTTGCTATAAATGACAGAATTTCATTCTTTTCCCCTGGTACTGGTGATTGAACCCATGGGTACTTTACCACTGAGCTATACTCCTAGACCTTTTTAATTTTTTATTTTGAGACAGGATCTCATGAAGTTGCCGAGGCCAGCCTTGAACTTGCAATCCTCCTGTCTCAGACCCCTGAATTACTGGGATTACAGGTGTGTACTATCACACTTAGCAATATCATTTTTATACCATTGTGTGTGTGTGTGTTTGTGTGTGTATGTGTTTGTGTGTGTATCACTTTTTTATCCATTCATCCGTCTGTGGACACCTAGGCTGATTCCTGGCTATTGTGAACAGTGCTGCAGTAAACACATGAATGTAGATGTCTCTGAAACATAACTGATTTCTGGATCACATAGTAGTTCTATTTYTAGTTTTTTGAGGAACTGTGATACTGTTCTCCATAATGGCAGTACAAATCTACATTCCCACTAACAGTTGATGAGAGTTCCTCTTTTTCAAATCTCATCAGCACTTGTTATCTTTAGTCCTTTTTATAGTAGCCATTCTAATTAGGGGAAGATGGTATCTCATTTTAGTTTCTTTTTTTAATTTTTATTTATTTTTTTAGTCATACATGACAGTAGAATGTAATTTGACATATAATACATACATGGAATGTACATACATCAATCATATTGTCTATTCTATTCTGTTGCCATTCCTATACTCCCTACTCCTCCCCTCCTCTCCCATCCTTTCTCTCTATCCAATCTAATGTGACACACTTTTTTTTTCTTTTTCTCATTACAACATCATATAT